AAAGTCTTGTATGTCATTTTCACAGTCTCACGGCATCCTAGAACGCTTTACTATCGGTGAAGGTATAATCGCTGCTGTAGCAAAAACGACAGTAAAATCGCGCACAGCAAGCTCCCATAAGGAACAACATGAGCAAGTACTTATTTAACTGGTCAGATGTCTACTAGCGTTTAAACACTATATATCTGTTCTTGAAATGAACTTAACAAAAGTCAATATCCCTTTGTGGTTTTTTGACATCTGTTGGTGTTTCTTTCTAATATTTTAATTTTGACTTCGAACAATCATTTTAAACAAAAGTTTTCCATTGACAGGTTTGTGGTCACTGAATTCCATCCTTTTGTCTAGATTTCTGAGTCTAGTTTCTTCTAAGGCGATTCATTAAAACGTTACCAGTTAATTAGTTAGAAGTCAAAGAAGTTTCCAAAGTTCAGGTGCATGGTCTCCGAGTGAGATCTTTAGTCCAAAGACAATCTGGGGTAGAATTACTCTGGGGAATTTACGAAGCGATCATCAACCGAGTGATCTGAGCAAGCCCTTCTCATTGCTTACGCATAATATTCCTCTCATACATGCCTATTCTAACGAAATGATTCCGAATTCCGATTCGAAGCAAATAAAGTTTCTAGAAACAATAACAGAAATTGCTGGCGAAACCTCATCAGGTCTCGCATCATCTATGGAGAGAAATCAGAGTTAACATTTCGAGTCCAGTGACCCTTCTTCAGAACGTGTTTATTTTTTGTAAAGTCTCATGTTCTGTAACTGTATTTTCCAGTGAGGTGCACACTGACGGTTTTATACGTCAAATTGTTAACAAGAATTAAGACTTTCCTCCAAACTAATTTCTAAGTCGGTTTTATTTGGTTCAGTTTAATTAAAACGCAGCTTTGTCTCCAAGTAACAATCAAATTGTTCCGATACTACTCGACATTGACTCCGCGACATCAGTTACTGTACCCCAGCTTCCAAGGTCCCATTCATATAAAAGTTGTGTGGTTAAGCTCATCAGGGAGATGTGTAGATTTAAGGCGAGGATATCATACCTTTTCTCTCCACACCCTTGCTTCCAACTCTGTCCTCCCATCCCTAACATTTATCCTGATTTCTGAAGTTCCCGCAACATTTAACGTGTGAAGTTCTTTCTATTCACTTTTCCAACCTATTGTCTTCATGATCACTAACAGCGCAGAGCGAAACTGTTGATCTCTGCGAGTTTTCAACTCGACCCCCGCCCCCATGACAACTACAAACACACACAAAAAACATGTTTTAACCTAATTGTAACCACAGCACAGTGTGCTCTTCAAGTCCAGATCTCTTTTCACAATGAAACAATCTATGGCTCCCTCACAAGTCAAGCGACGGGAGCCATCATTATTTCATCCCTACGGGTGTAATTACACGATCCAAACATGTGACCACACATTTGGAACGAAACTCAGGCCAAATGTTCGAGTTCACATCCTGCAACAGGTACATGTCGCTGAGTCAATGCCAAGTGGTGTTTTACTCTCGCCGGATAAATTTAGCCAGTCCCCCATCGCCAGAAACTGTGGATCGCGTCTGGGCAAATTTGAACTGGCCGGGGGAATGTGGCGAATATGTCCCTTTGAGACACATCTTTATTTTCCAAATCCATTCATTTAAGGAAGCATTTACAACTTTAAAGCGCCTTTCTCAACATCAAGTCTCTTCAAGGTGGACCAGAGTCAATGACATGACCGGTTCAGGCGTGGTCGCAGTTCTAACATAGTCTAATCGCGCACAGCAAGATCCCACAAACAGCAATGTGGTCTTGGTAGGTCTACCTATTCCAGTGACTGATCTGAACGGTGATTGCGTTAACGTATAAAACGTTCAGCCGGACATTGGTCCGCAAGGTTCTGAAATCAATATTCCTGTTCGGGGGGCGGGGGGTGCGGCGGGGCAGTTAATAATTAGGCTACAATAAAATGCTGCCGACACTCGACAGGCCAACATATTAGAAAAGAAACACAGTTTATTACGGGAGGCTTAGCATTTGAAGCTAGAGGTCAATACATTTTCAGATACAATTAAAAGGAAGGGATCCGGGAGTAATACTAGAAGACAGAGCTGAGGTGACATGATCTTATTCAATAGTAACAGAAAGCCGAGGGGCCGAATGGCCCACTCCCGCTCCCTTGTGACTTCCTTCTTCTCTGGAATAAGCTTCTCCTGGTATTCGATGTTGACAGTTTTGTTTCCAAACACATTAATGAGCAGGACCTGCAAAACACGTTCTTCAGAAATTGCTGGCAAAGCTCAACAGGTCTGGCAGCATCTGTGGAGAGAAATCAGAGTTAACGTTTCGAGTCGAATCACAAAGCTAACTCTGATTACTCTCCACAGATGCCGCCAGACTTGCTGAGCTTTTCCAGCAGTTTTTGGTTTTTTCTCTGATTTACAGCATCCGCAGTTTTTTCGGTTTTTATAAAGATCTATTGGAATCCAACAGTGATCCATACCGACTTCTGGTCTTTGCGCAATTGAGCCATTAAATTGATTTGTGGAGCGTTCTCCGCGTAATCTACTGATAGTTGGAGTGATGCTTCATCTGGCACCTTGTGTTGTTTTTCGTTATTCACAGGGCAGTCAGTAATCCGTGAGGTTGGAATGGGGAGGGTGGGGGGCACGGTACGGTGGGCGGCCACGTTGGACAGGAAGAGGCCGCTCGGTCCCTTGAACGTACTTCTCCTAAAATCAGAGCATGGTTAATCTGGAGCTCAATTCCATCCAGTCATCTCCTCAATCCCTTCCCCTCTTAAAAAAAGGAGAGAATATAAAGATCACTCAGTGTGAGATTATATTTCCCACTTCTCCACACATGTGTAATGAATTGTTGAACATATGGAGCTCTTTTGTTCAATACGAAAAACGGGCAAGTTACAAAATAGCAGCTTGTATATGGAGATTATATACAACTGTGTAATTAACTTGAGAGAACAACGTCCTTAGACAGGTCCTGTGATTTCTCTCTGGAATAAACTTCGCTTGGTATTCGATGTTGACAGTTTTGTTTCCAACCACATTATAGGGCAGTTCTTGTAAAACACGTTCTTCAGCAATTGCTGGAAAAAAAAATACTCAGCAGATCTGGCAGCAGCTATGGAGAGAAGACAGAGTTAAAGCTTTGGGTCCAGTGATCCTTCCTCAGAACTGCTTTGTTTTTTAACGAAACGTTAACTCTGCTTTCTCTCCATAGGTGCTGCCAGACCTGCTGAGCTTTTCCAGCAATTTCTGATTTTGTTTCTGGTTTCCAGCATCCGCAGTACTTTTTTTTGTTTGACGTTCTTCTGGATTCTGGCCTTGGGAATATTGGACACATTTATTGAGTATGTTTGAGACAGAAAAAAACGCGAAAGTTCACGAATGATCTCCCAACGAACTTGCCCTAATATTCCGTCGGAGACTTGCATTCTAAACTGTGTCGTGGACCTCACCCTCAGAGAACATGGGAACGGTTCCAATGTGCAATATTTACCTCGTCCCAACTGGCAGGTGGCGTGGGTGGCTGGAGGGGTTAGGTGGTAATGCGGGGATGGATGTGGGGAGGTGTGGGTGTGGCAGGAAGTTTGGGGTGTGTGGAGGGTGGTTAGAGGGATGGTAGGTTAGCAGCAGAAGTTGGGAGAATAATTTTTAATGGGTACAGCTCTCTTGATAAAGTCATTCAACATCAAAATCTCTCCCATTGAAAGATCTTTTACAGCAATTCCCTCACAGGATGGCAAGAGGCGGTCTTTTCAAACATTGCTGAGTCGGTTCAGCCCCAGGGACTAATATTGCAGCCCCTGCTCTCCGGTGTCTTTATGGTTTGACCCATTGCGACTGTTGTAAGGACTGTAAACTCCTGATCAGAACACCTCTGCAGAAACGCGAACTAGAAGAAATCAATTCTAAAGGTGTGGATTCAGAGCCGCCTGCTCATTTACAAAGTAACGGGGAGTATCAGAACCGATCAGACTCCTTGTCGGAGCTGAAATGAACTCAATCCCGTTCACATCCCGGGGCGATGTGTGGGTTGTTTTTGTTGTTGTATGTGATGAACCAATTAATTCTTAGCTTACCGAGCAACAGTAGATCGAGAATGATTGTAGAGATGAAGGGCACAACACTTCTCATCATATTTAATATACATTAAAACAATCGGTAACATTCGTCTCACTCAGTGTCCTGCCCTGCTGCCCCCTCAAAGAAATAGTTTCAGGATGGGTGGACACTTGGGAACTCACTTGGGTCTTGGTGAGAGTCAGCAATTCGTTCCAATAGAGAGTTTCTGTGAAAATGCACTTCCTGTCGAAGGTCAATGGGTAATTTTCGATATTAATTAATTCTTTTATTTGGAGTTAGAACTGATCGCTCCACTCCTGAAGGAACCTGCGTTGGCTGCAACGGATGGCAGACAGATGGGAACTGAACAGAGAAAAGACAGTGAGAAGTGGCGCAGTGAAATGTCTAACCAGCAACTCTTTCAGCAAAGCTCAAAGTGTTATAAGATTCACAAACCGAGCCCGCCACCCCCCCCACTCTCTCTCTGCCTCCCCACCCTCCCCCAAAGCCTCCTCGACTAAAGAAAACTTTGGCGCCAGATCGCCATAGCTCATTGAGAAAAAAATGTCACCACCCAGGAGATTTTCATTCAAAAAAAATCCCTCCTGAGTAAACATCCTCCTGCATCCGGCGAGAGCTGGGCGCTGTTGCAGTGCTATTGAACAAACCCACGTTATTATGGGACTGGCGTGAAGGGCTCTGCAAGTGGGGGGTGGTGAGGAGAGAGAAGCAGCCAGGGTGATGTTGTGTAGTAAACAAAAGGGATTTTTGTGTGTGTGTCGTGGGGGGGGGGGGGGGGGGTTGGGGGGGAGGTGAAACTGACGCGATCTTCCACGTGAGGGGCCGGCCGTGTGTAACCACGTGGACCTCTCCCAGGCAAATATTTCACTCATTTTTTAAGGTCGATTTTATTTGGAGGCGGTGCCACCAGCAACGTCCTGTGACATTTTCAGTTTGACTCAACGGGGTTTGGGGGTAGCAGATAGACTTTCACAGCCCGCCATACCGTTTCATAACTCCCTGTTTCCGCCTAACACTTTTTCTTTGGCCGTTTTGTGTTTTTCTCTCTCTCTCCTCCCTTTGCAACAACCGTTTACCATTTTAGTTGCTGCTCCTGGTGGGTTTTTTTTGTGTTGTTGTTGGATATATCATTATTTCGAAGGTGCTGTTATAATTTTACACCCTCCCTTCTTTGCTCACCCCCCCAAAAAAACAGAGAAGCCCTAAGAATCACAATGAACAAGCTGTACATCGGGAATCTGAGTGAGAGCGTGACTGTGCCAGAGTTAGAAACTATCTTCAACGACTGGAAGATTCCTTTTTCTGGGCAGTTTCTACTCAAAGCGGGCTATGCCTTTGTAGATTGCCCAGATGAGAGCTGGGCAATGAAAGCGATCGATACCTTATCCGGTAAGCGATTTCAACCGATATCCAAAACGCAGGGGAGAGCTGAAGCTGTCTTGAGAACGCCGTTCACTCGGCGAGATTCTGTGTTCCTACCCAGTTCCTAGCAATGGCCTACCTACCTCCTACTCCTCCAGGCTAGGAAAGGGTTCTGCTCTGGAGAGAGTTGCACTGGTCCCTTTTTAATTTCTGACCAACACGTTAATGATTCGAGCCCTCCACTCCCTCCCCAAAAAGCGTGGCATGTTGATTGTACAGAAAGATAGATAATAGAGATTTTAATATAAAGATAGGGGGTGGGGGTGGGTGGGAAAGACGCGCCAATTCCTCCTGTACGTGAGAGGGGGCTTTATGTTTCTGGAAACCAGCAGGTTCTCTTTTTTTTAGTCAATTACACTCAACACACGCGGCGTTTGACCAAAAAAAAAGGATAAAGGAAGAGTCAGATTGCTATTCCGTCCTTTGGGAAGAAATCGCAGATTAGGAAACCCAGTTGGGTCAGATCTCTGGATCTGCTGCGGGATCTGGTTCCCACCCCCCCTCCTCCCTCCCTCCCTTCCTTTGGATCAGGGTGTCTCTTGGAGAGAATGGTTCGATGCTAGCTAGTCCTTCCCCTTGCTGATAGTAGGCCGTCATTTGCAAGCTCCGTTATAATACCACGTTAGCAGTTTTAATTCTGTCTCTCGTCTCTTCAACACCCCCTCCCCTTCCTCAGGCGACCAGTCCGGGTAACATTTATCCCTCCTTTCCTCTGACTGGCCCCCCAAAACGGCGGCTGTAAGTGAATGCCGGTCGTCCCTAGCTCTCTGAATGATTCCTGAAATTGAATACAGCCTGTGATGGGGGCACACACAGAGCCGAGGTCGGCCATACTGATTGTGAAAATACTATAGGACTGCAAGCGTGCAAATGTCTAGGGCGAAAACCCCCATTCTAACCAGATAAAATATAACTTTCAGGTCCGATATATAACGTATTTCCATGTGTGTTGGATATACATATCAGCAGCCTCATCCTAAAGTTCCTCAGTAACTTACTAAGGAAATTAATTCTCAATTATGCACTACAACAGATTTCAACCCTCACACTCTTTTTAAAAAAAATGACAATCCATCCTGATAATAACAGGGGTTCATTTCACCCAGTGTGTTTGTAAAAGTAGAGATGAAGAAGGCGAAACACTATTTTACTAAATTAAATTCAAATCGAAATTGTTTACAGGTAAAGTGGAACTCCATGGGAGACACATAGAAGTGGAACACTCAGTACCCAAGAGGCAGAGGTATTAGCAATTTCAATACTTGTTTTGGTTTGAATATTTATTTGGCGATATCCTGGAGAGTTGTTATGAAGTGAATTAGTCATTTGTTTCTGGTTGCTGCTTGAAAGTGTGTGTGATTAAAATAAAATAGACGTACAAAGTTGTGAAGCTCTTCAGAGAGGCTATTTTTAAAAAAGCTGTGGTTATACTGTGCTGCAGAATGGAACAGATTTGAAATTAGTTGTTTCCTCAATCTATATGATGTTATTTACAATCTTGAATTGAGGCGAAGTAGTGCAGCAATTGTGGGCAGCAACCCATGGCTGGAACTGCAATGTGTTTTTCAGGAGATTTAAAGCGACGGATGAGAAAATAGGTTCAGTGTCGAGGAGCTGGATCTAGTGATTTTTGTTTTAGCTTTAACGAGCTCTTCCCGCTTTTCTGCTCAGAAATTTAAAAGGTCACGATTTGAGAATGGGGACAGGGTGGACGGTTAGAGATGCACCATTTCCAACACCACCCCCCCCACCTTTGGCTAAACCGCTCAAGTAGATCACGTTTCAAACGCTGAAGCCTTGCTTTGGGTTCAAATCTCATTTGACTGCAAAGCCGATTCCGGGAACGCCTCGACCTACGGGAGAGAGCTTACAAGAAATGAGCTGAGGGGGCAGTGGGGAAATCAACCTTCCGAGTTTCTTTTCCACCCTTTCCATGTTCGCTTTGAATCGCTAAGGGACGCGTTGTCTTGAAACTAAGGATTCTTTGCAACAGAACTGTGCGAATGCGTTGGCATTTTCATGTCCCTATATTGCTCTGTGTGCAATAGTTAACGAATTCTGTTTGATGTGTTTTTCCATGCATGACCTTTTTCAAAACGGGATGCACAATTCCAATAAGAAAGTTTGATTGAGTTCTCATTCAGAAACCAAAGTTTTTGACCCAGAATCTAACGTGATGGCTATTCAGTGTGGAACCTGGCTTGGGTTGCAGACATACCTGTAAAAGTATTTGCTTGTTCTTGCTTTAAAGCATTTGGTGTATGTGTATCTTTGCATAATCTGATAAACTGGATGGTGCCTGTTGTAAAATGTCTATAAGTGCTGGTTCAAAAAATACCATAAAACAAGTTAAGCACTGGATTAGAAACAATAACTTGATATCAATTCATATTATTATCTATTTAAAATGATAGAGTAGAGAGAGCAAGTTATTAGTTCAGTTTAGCTGTAGCTATTGTCCTCCATGTTAGCATTTTAACCAGACAGTTGTACGCTTTGTAACGCAACATCATCTGGTATGTTAGATATAATCCAGGGAGGTTTGTAAATCAAACTATGTCCCCCTCTGTATTTTCAAAAGGCTGAAGATGAAGTTTGAATCAGCCAATTTGAAAGTTTTGAAAAGTAGTTAAAACATTCAGCAAAACATAATTTAAAGTCAATTGTCATGGCTATAATCAATGATTTAAAAAAAATCTGATCAGAACATTAAAAATTTAGTTAAGAACTTTTTGCCTTGCTCTTTATTGATTAACCTGGTTTGGAAGGAATGATGAGTAAACACTAAATATATAGACTGCAAACACAATTTATTGTTTTTACTGCCCAATTTAGTTTAAAAATTCAATAGTTAAAATTCAATTCTTTGGTGGTGGTGAACTACCTACATTCCTTACTGCTTTATTTAAAATATTCTATTATGTTTAAATTTACAAAATTTAAAGACTTTGCATATGAAACCTTAACATTCTGTTTTCCTGAAAGAGATGTAACTATTTTATTTTGTTAAAAAATAAGCACTTGAATTGTTTTTGTGGAAATTTTGCTTGAAATTCTGAAGATCCAAAATGCAATGTTTGTGGTAATATCCATTGGAGTTTTAGCTTTTTCTTAAAAAAAAACTGTGAAAATAGATATAAAATAGATCAATATAGAAATCTAAGTAAAAGTTCAAATGAAATAACATCACTCAATGGAGTATTGTATGTGTGTACTTAAATGGTTGGTTCAATGATCCTATTTACTGAAATGAGAAATTGCTGAAATCCTGAAGGCAGATAAAATACAATTTTATAATGGATTTAGTGAAATTAACTTTGTTGTGTTTACTGTCAATGAGTCATTAGAAAAACGGATATCTTCTTGTATTTCATGAGAACATTTGTAAAACAAAAGTACAAACCTATTGCTTCAAGCGTGTTTTCGATTGTTACAAATGGTTTCAAATAACTTAATAAGAGTTCAGTAATAGAAGTGTAGAAACTGTTTCATTTCATATATATGAACATGTTTAGCATTGATCAAGCATAATTTTACAAAATTTTGTACTAAGTGAATTCTTTTCCTAGGATTTGACTCTTAAGAAACAGTTGTGATGCATTGAATCTAGAGAGATTTTGTTTGGTAAATAAAATGAGTATTACAGTGTTTATCATTCTAATATCCTTTACATTAAGATAAATAAACTGGTAATGGACAGAAAAGTTAATAAAATTCAGCAAACTAAGTTTACACCCTTGCATACATGAACAAAAACAACTTCATGTTTAACTATACAAAAACCTAATAAAAAATAAATGTCACAAACACTTGCAACTCTGTTCACAGTAAAAAAAATGTTGTATTGATTAAAATGCTGGAAAGGTGTTAAAAATACGAATTTCTTGAAATTACTTTCAAAGCATTGACTTCAGAATAGGGAAAACATCATTTAACATTTTGGTTAAAGAATACTTCCGCTCCCATTAATTTATCCTCCCCGTCCCAGAAATTACAGAATCATGCAGGAACTCTGTCAGCATCTGAAAAGGGAAGAGACAGGTTAACATTGATGGTGCTTGAAACATTAATTCGACTATAGCCCATTCAGATACAAAAATAAAGACTCTGTTTCTCTTTAACCACTTTTGTTACAATTACAGAAAGGTAACTTTTCATATCTTTAAATAAGATGAAAATAATAAGTTTAGAGTAATCAATTTCATAATCAAGTTTAGAATAACATTTATAAAAAATGAAATAGTTATTGAAATTTAGGGGAAAGATGTTTAATTTTAAAATAGACTTTGCAAGGAATTAGACTTCATAGGTTATGTTTTAAAATATTTTGCGAAATCAAACAAAAACTTTTTAAAGTAACCATATAACTTTAAGCAATCTGGCACAATTTATCCTAAAGTAAAGTAAAGTAGAAATGGCAGATATATCTTATTGTGTAATGTTTAATTGATATAATTTGTAGATCCTGAAATGACTGTCATACTTAAAATTATGGAGAAACTTTCATTCCAGTTTTGAAATTCAATATTAAAAGAAACAAGGAAATATTACAGCAAAAGACAATTAAACATCAAAATAACCAATGCATTTGCTAGAAGAAAAGGACTATACAATTTACAAAGGAAATGGTTGATGTCTTCATTTGTAATTTCAAGTAGCTTAAGTTTTTTGAATGTTTGGCAAGTTACCATGATTAACACAAATGGATGAAAATAGTTTGAAAAATTCCAGGTTGTTTAGACTGTTGCAATGCTGCAGTTATCAAGACATAGAAAACTTTTTAAAAAAGCAATAAATAATGATTTCATTGATTTACAGAAATGGTTTGATAAGAACTCTATGATTTTATCCAGAATAGCTGAGATAAACGGAGGTCAGGAACAAATTCCACTCCTGATTTATGCTGAGTTGGCTGGTCTCAGCCAGTCGAGTGGAGAGGGTGTGGTGGAGAGCTGCACAATTGGCCTTGGTATCCTTAAGAGGAAAGTTGACGAGGATTCTCATTTCTGCTTGATAATCAGTACCTCATCCTGAAAGGATGAATGTCTGGCTATTGGGTTAAATCAGAATTGGATTTATATGTGATGTCCTTCATGGGTGGCTACATTGCCAACACTTGGAGACAAATTTAAGTTACAAATTAAATAATTACTTGAATGAGGGTCCTAACATCTTCCAGTATCCACGGAACCGGGCAAGGAAGGAAAAACATTGCCTACCAAATTGCTCCCTTAAAAATAACAAAAAAAAGCAACTTCTATCGACTTCCACTTTTAAAACTAAGATTTATTCCTCATTTTGCAGCAACTTGCAGCTTTGATGAGACTAAAGTCTTATGCAGAATTTAGAAAATCTATTATAGTTATGTGCAAATGTGCATTGTTTGGTGCTGAGGCCTTTTGTAGATTCATTATGTACAACTCAAGTAGTGGTAGGAGTTGTTTGTGGCTAAGAAGCTCTTGCCAAACTGTAGTAGTTTGTTGACTTTATGAATGGAAAGGATCCCCATTGGTGTTATAAACTGTGTGATTCAAACTTGTTTTTCTTTTGTCTGACAAGGTGGAGCAAATGACTTTATTGAATTTTCCTAAATTACAGAATAGGTGACTGTCTGTGCTTTTTTAAAAAGAAAACTAAAGTAAGATCCATTTTTAAAAAACAAATCCTCCTCCTAAGTTGCCACACAAAATGGTGGCAGAAGCCTTTCTCGTTTCTGCATAGGTCATTATTGAGCAAAGCATGACCTTTGACCCAGACTGGAAGCACATACCCTATACTGCTAAATGGATTCCAGAGCTGCGTTACTGAAACCCCTCTCTCCCTTTCACTCAAAACCTGCAGAAAATTAATAATGTTACACATTTCTTAAATACTGAAATGTGTCTGTGTGTGTGGTGGGGGAGGGGGAAGAAGCTGTTTCAATCTGAAAAGCCCTTTGAAGTTTTCTCTTTCCATGTGCACACTTGTGTGTGTCTTTCGCTACCCCACCCCCCACTCCCCACTCTCATTGTAATTTGCAGTTTCCCTCCCGTGTGCACCCCTCACCCTCAGGCCTTTTAAGTTCAATAAGTAGAGCATTCCTAATCTATATGCTCATCACACAACAGAAGGTCAAGAGGTGGTGTCAGGACTGTCACATAGTCTAATTGAGCCTAGTGGATCAGTCCGGTCGGGGTGGAGGAGGGGGGAAATGGAAAGGAAGACATTTGATTTGGTTAAATTTCTTAGGCCACATGTAATAAAGATTCAAGTTTTTATCTCTTAAAAAAAGTGCTGCTAGAGGTGGAAATATTCACTGTTCAAACAGAATAACCTTTGAACCATTGTTAAAGGAACTGAGGGTTGCACACAGAATGTGAAGTCAGTTGTATGTTGGTTTTAGTGGGGGGTGGTGTTGAGCAGAGGAAGGAGAGAAAGCAAGAACGATTTAATATCAACTCTGAAGGTGCATTACTAATTGGGAGGTCCTGTTTGGTTCCTGGTTGTGAGACCACATAGCTTGTACAAACCTTTAGCTATCCCAGTGCAGCCTCTTGAATGCCTTGAGCCAGTTTCTTAGTTTTGAATCCATTTCCAGATTAATTTCTTCAAAAGTAATCGCAGAGTTTAGTAGACCAATCACAACAATTGTGAGCAGATCTGCTTCAGATTGTAAAAGTCAGAGAGGCTCTCTTGAAATAATTCAGAAAAACTTGGTGTAAGAAATAAGTAAAAAGGAAAGTAATTTGCACAGATTAGTGTGAGGTGAGTGGTCAGGATTGTTCTTCCTAGAATGTAGAAGATCCACATTGATGATTACTGAGGTGGGGGCAGGGGGATGCTGGACAGCTTTTCTTGACTTTACTCTTTGCAAAATTTCAAACACATGCCTGCATTTGTTTGTCATTGGGAATAGCTTTATGAAATCGTTTTCAGTTGAGCTAACAATCCCTTTAAGACTACTAGACAGGTAGGAATGTTGATGAGGTGAGGTAGGAGAGTGGTGGAGGCAGAGCAGGAGGATAAAGAAATTATCTTGAACTTCTTTAAGGCATTGATCAAAAATTGGAGGCTAGAACTAGAATCTGTCTCTGTCTCTTCAGGTAGTGCAATGAGTAGGAGTTTATTGGGTGATCACTGGTTTCAAGTACTGAATAAGTTCACATTAATTTTATTACATAGATTTCAGGAAATTCTTACCAGTGTTTTGGGATTAGATTCTACAATTCCATACATTTTTCCATGAGACCTGTAAGCTAGTTGCCGTTTTATTCAGTTAAAACATTTATAACATTATATCTAGAACCTCAACTCATATAAGTATCTTTTTTTTAAAAAAACTTTTATTTTAATTGACTACACAATTTCAACCAATATATTCTATGTTGCAATCCATCAGCAACAGAATCTGAGATAAACCTGTACCCACCATTATCTCACTCTAGAGTTACACAGATAAAAATGTCTTCCCAGATATAACCCACTTTTGAAGGTATAAAATTTATTATTGCACTGCTGAGCTTTTGTTACAGTTCCATGGAACCCTGTATGGAAGCCCCCTATTACCCATCAACTTGTTGAATCAAAATCCTGGAGATATTACTGAACGATAAACAAATTCAGAATAAAATTTGAGAGAAAATTTTCATTTATATAGCACTTGCCATCATCACTGGATATCTCAAAGTACTTTACAACGAATGAAGTACAGCCACTGTTGTAATATAGAATTCCAATATACATTGTTGTTAACTAAAATTGAAGCACATTGAAACCCTTTTAAGAAAATTGATCACACTAAAATTGGACATATCTAGCATTTTGAGTTAAGGACTCAAATGTTTTCTACCTTTAGACATTAAAATATACGTGAACCTTACTCAACATTCTTATGTGAAACA